GTAACAACGCGAAATTTTTATCTTGTACAGTCAATCAATTCACCCAAAGTCAGACTTGTTTCTGCTATCATTTAGCACTGTTTAGAGTCTATTCGAGTATTCTAAGCCTAGTATATTCAAGAATCGGGTGTTAGGAAGTATCTGCTTGAATCCATTGTACCTAAATCAAACTTAAACCCCATTATGAGGTGTTTACGGCCAAACTTTATGAGTTTGGGCCGTAAACTCTTCCATGGCCGTGAACTCATGCCTTAAGCATGAGTTTACATCATTTTTCATCATTTCTTTCATTTCAAGTCAAAGAACTCCCATTCTCTCTCAACTATCATCAAGATCTTCATCTTAGTCTTCCAAAAATGTAAGAATTTCTTCCCTTGATTTGTTGTTACAACACTTTATCTAGTACAACCCTTTGATTTCATCCATGAAATCATTCCATTTTGATAGATCTTCAAGTGTTCTTCATTTCACCAAGAACACCAAGAACACACACTAGTGTTCTTGAGCCTTAAACACCCATTCAAGCTTCTATATTGTAAGTACTCTTGCATTTGCTTGTTATATGCTTGAAACACTTAGTTTACACCTAGAAAACATCAAGAAAACAAGATCAAAAGGTGTTTACGGCCAAGGCAATCACCTTGGGCCGTAAACCCTAATTAAAGGGGCAAATGAGCCCTAATCTCTTCCAAAGCCTTGGAACCAAGTCTAGAATACTTCCAAGGAGAGTATAGGACCTTAAACATCAAAAGAACCAAGAGCAAATGGTGTTTACGGCCAAGGCAACCACCTTGGGCCGTAAACACTAGTTAGTGGTGCATATGTGCCACCACTCCTTCCTAAGGCTTAAAACTTGGTCTAGAACCCTTCCAACTTGAACTAAGGACCCTTAAACATCAAAATGGTAGAAGTTACCATGGGTTTACGGTCGTAAACCCATGAGGGCCGCAAACCCTAGGCCGTAAACTTATGGAGAGTTTACTCTTGGGCCGTAAACTCCAAAGAGAATCCCTACAACCCTTAGATGCAACCCTATGACCTTCTAACACTTGATCCAAAGTGTTTTCCATGTTTTAGAGTGTCTTCACTTGCTTAATTAGTGTTATAATCACTAATTAGATACATATATGTGTCTTTATATGTTAAATAGGATCAGTGTGTGTGTTCAAGTCTTCACTTGACAACTAGCACCTTATCCAGCACTTTCATCCAAACCACTCACTACAGGTGAGTTCATAACCCTTAATCAACCTTTTAAATGATTTTAAATACTTTTATGGGGGGGGGGGGGGATACAAGTTGAATTATTTTAGTTATTATATCAATCACATGTGATTAATAACTACCAAACGAGTGGATTTCTTACTTTTCAAACTGTGTTATCAAACAAACTACTTGAAATCGTTTTACAAACTCTTTTACATGTTAAATACTTTGATTAAACTCTTTTAAACTTATATTTTGTCAAATGTGTATCTATATAGATATAGTTATATAAGTAGGGTTGAAAGGACTTAGGACTGATAGCTCACCTTACTTCCTGTTCCTCGTTTGGTTGTGGACTTAGGGTATCGGTTGTTTGTCCGAAGGTCGTTTGAATCTTAGTTATATATCATGTATATGTATATAGATATAAAAGTTCCTTCATTCAGTTCAATACCTTTGGGTAGCAAGGGTATACAATCATGTTCATTTATACAAACAACATTACTAGTAAACTATAATAGGTATAGTTTAGGAAGATACTAATACTATTACAAGAACAATGAAACATACAAAGAGTCAGTTCATACATGAGTCAATACATACTATTATGAGAAACTAATAGAACATACATACATACTATACAGAGAGAACATACAATACAGCTAGTACATACTATACATTATACAAGTGAACATACTATTATGAGAAACTAAGAGAACATACATACATACTAGACAGAGAGAACATACAATACATCTAGTACATACATTACATATACAAGTATACAATAACATAAATGTGAACCGTCGTTTGGGGCATGACATCACCTGTCATGGCTCTATTTGTAGCCAGAATCTCCTAGAGGGAGAGCGTGAATTTGCGTATAGATCTATACTAGATTGACTATCCTACACCTTGCTGTTAGCTACAGTGGGACTTGCAAGTCTACGGGTGCCAAATGTCATTTCTTCCGACGTCTTTCATCGTCGTGTTATTAGTCGATAATATGGTACAACCAGGTCACATCATACCTTAAATATCAATTGGTTTAAGGTAGAAAGTATAGCAGTAGTTACTATAGTACAAACACTACAGTACTTTATTATTTCCCCATTGCATTCACATTGTGATCTTTTCACATAAAAGGTAATGAAAAACTATATTTTTGGTTAATGATAGTCACACATGGGAAAATATACACTCTTACAAGAAACAAACATACATTTCATTTGATGCCTTGGTAGAAGGCTACTTTTAGTAGAAAATATAGAATTTTCTAGGAGATACAAACATT